CATTCAGAACGCCGTTAATTCTGCACTTGACTTTGCAAAGTCGGCAGAAATCGTTTAAATCCGCAGAAGACGTTGGATATAAACGATTTCTGCCGACTTTGCAAAGTCAACTGCAGAAGTAACGGCGTTCTGAATGAATGGGGCTTTGAAAAGTCCTGCAGCATGTGTTAGACGTCACCATCTACACATGGACCAATCAGGGTTGGCCCGGTTATTTTCTGATTGCTAATACACGCTCCCAATGGGCCGAAGTCCAGACTGTTGTGTGAAGGAACTGCAAGTGATTCACGCAACAGGATGGCCCTACCAGGCTACAAAACGGCTGCCATCCAAGCACCTAAGCACAAAATGTAATGGATCAAGAGCTAAGAGAGTTGCAGACGTATAAAAGTTGGCACACCTTTCCACAGGGCATCTTTTGATTATCAATTTCATTAGGATCGCCCCAAAAATGGCTCTGTAGCACCCCCTAGAAAAATTTAAAAATCCAGCCCCTGCCCCCTAGTGGACATGAAGGCCGAATGTGGGCTCTGGCTGAGGGAGGCACTATCAAGCAGAGGTGGTTGCAGGGGAGGTAGTCGCAAGGGGAGGCGGTCGCAAGGGGAGGCAGTTCAAGAGGCTTGGGCCTGCCCAGTGCCCCAACGGGGTCCTAGTTTTCATTGTTTTCTCCATCGCCTCTTTGAGCTCCTCAATTAGCTTTGCGCACAGCACACTTTGATGAATAATATAGTGAAGTGCATTAGTTTTAGGAGTGACAGTCTTTATTCTGCTCACCAGACCCTTGTTTTTGCCAATCATGGCAGGTGCACCATCTGTCACAACTGCACAACTGTGAAATATCTGTGTTGTCAGTGGACTCATCAATAGCCAGCAAAATTTGTTGGCTTCCTTGATTCCGTCAATGACAGCTTGCTGGACATGCTCTGCCAAGACATGTACATGACGTGCAGCAGTTAAAGCAGAGAGAGGTATTTGTTTCACAGATGCAATAACCCTGTCCATGGATTTGTCAGGGCAAGTACCTCCAGAATGGTGACCATGCACTCCTTTAAAACCTCACTTTTCATGAAAGGCGGCTTATGTTTGCAAAGCACCCAGGCAGCCTGCAGAGATGCACACATTACTCTTTCTTAATTAGTTGAAGTTCGAGTAATAATGCCACATGCATGGAAGTAGGAAGATTTCAATGTGGCGATTTTTCTCTGATGGGCCTCTGACTGCTCAGGATATAGATCCTTGAAATTTGCATGTTTAGTGTTGTGGTGACGGTGTGAATTATATCCTTTTTTAACAGCAACAGTTTCGTTAACCTGTGTTAAGTGGCCTTTTCCTATCACTTCCGTGATGTTTGTTTTTCAAGTGCTCTATAAATAAAGTTGACTTTATTGAGTTGAGGCAAAATATCTCTATCACTCCTGGTGGTTGACTGTGGTATAGGTGATAGGAGCCTAACTCATAAAGGCTAAAAATGCCTTCAGTTTTGTAATGAAATGGAAAAAAATATATATAAGCAATAAACAACAAATAATAATGTTGTGCCAAAATTTGATTTTTATTTAATTTTTATTTGAGGGTCCAGCCCCCAAGGTGACTGTCCGGTAAAATTCTGGCCCTCTTACAAATATAGTTGGTGACCCCTGACTTAAGCCATATAACCAATCAGAGTTGATTTTAAATGTTCTTAAGATGTTATATTGAGTCAAGATGCTAAGTTTGAGTTGAAAAAAGGGCATTCATTATGCCAAGGTAATTTTTGCTGCGTCATCGATGCCATATTCAATGTTCATGAGTAAAAATGGGCTCAATGTGTGCTAAAACGACATGATATGGGCACACGCATGTTTTCGCTGATTTTTGTAATGAAAAATAGTGTGTTCAAATTCATTTTCTGAAGTGATAAAAGATGTATTTGTGAATGTAAATGAGAAACATGATAAATGTAACATGATTCAAACAGTACTGTTAAAAAAACACATCAATGGTGACTTGAGGCTTTAATTACCTCCGCCAAGGAGGTTATGTTTTCAGTAGCGTTGGTTTGTTTGTTGGTTTGTTACCTCCGCCAAGGAGGTTATGTTTTCAGTAGCGTTGGTTTGTTTGTTGGTTTGTTACCTCCGCCAAGGAGGTTATGTTTTCGGTAGCGTTGGTTTGTTTGTTGGTTTGTTACCTCCGCCAAGGAGGTTATGTTTCCCAGGACAAAGTCTTCCAAGCTCCATCCTCACCCCTGTTTCGGTGACAGACAAGGACTGGTGTTCTAGGAGAGAGGCAGTTGAAGTGGTTGAGACATTTGAACAAGATGGAGGAGGAAGGGGAGAAGTTGTAGTGGAGATTTGTTGCGGAGAGGAAGGTGGAGTAGCAGTGGAAGTGGGAGTGACAGCAGTGTCAAATCTGTTGAAGAACAGGTTGAGTTCATCAGCTCTTTTCTTTTTATTGCTGTGTCCAGAGATGGTACTGATTCCTCTCCACACTTCATGGATGTTGCTGTGTTGTAGATTCTTCTCTATCTTCTTTTTGTACTCCAGCTTTGCCATCTTCAGTCTCCTCTCCAACTCCTCTTGAACTTGTTTGAGTTGTTAGTTGTCACCATCTTTAAAAGCTTTCTTTTTCTGGTAATATTCAGTTGTGTGAGCCAAGTTCATTTTATAAGCCAACATCAGTGAAAAAAAGAGCCAGGCTACGGAGAGTGATGCGTCCTTTATGCACAGGTTGTTCTGATTTAATTGCCATTATTATTTGTTTATATTGTGATCTTTGTGCACAACTCACCTTTGTCATTTGGGGTTTTACTATATGCAACTTGATGTGATAGTCTTATGTGGAAATGGGTGCTTGTCTTACCAGTGGGTCCAACCTTACACACACCAAATCCCTCTGTGCTTATTTGAGAGAGTGTGGAGGATGCCCTCCACAGTGCTCGCAGTGACAATTGTTGAGGGGCTGTCTCCTGTCGCCATCGTGTGGCATTGCTGTCCTCAGCCATTTATTGATCTCTTCGACTACTTCACAAAAATTGTAATACGCCTCACCAGTGGCAGATTTAGAGGTGAGCTGTTTTGATTGGTGAAAATGGGACTCAGCTGTGTTAATCCTACTCCACGCCTGCTCCCCTCCTTCTTTCCTACTTACGCCATTGGGAGGAGCTGAGTTAGAGAGGGGGGATACTTACACCAGGCTGCGCCGCTCACCAAAATACCAAAGTGTGCTTGGACACGTGTCATCTGCGCGGTGGACGTGACATATGCCGCACCTATGCCACGCTGCCAGCGAGGCACGAAAAAAGAGCTTTACTCTCAGAGTTGTTCTAATTGAGGACACACCCTGACTGGCTCTTCCAGATTAAATACAGGTTAAATGAATGTGTGCAGAGATGTGCTAAAACTGTAAATTTCTTCTCTCTTCCACTCTGAGTTGTTTAGACCAATTGTTGGTGGAGTAATTTGTGGTTGATGGTCTTTATTCTGCCTGATTTAACGTCATTATTTCTGCTCTTTGTCTCATCACCCCCTCCCTGAGAAGAATTATTTCCACATTACTGCTCTGAGTTTATTAATCAGAAGAGAAGAGGAGCTCATGGTTTTGGCTTTGTGGTTTAATAAAGAGGCATGTGTGTGGTGTGAATGCTTGGCTGGTTTTACAGTGCGTGCAGCTGCATGGGCAGCAGTAAAGCCATAAAACAGAGATATGATTACACCTCCGTATTCACTCAGACAGAACAGCCCATAATGTTGCCCCATAACTCTGAGATCAGCTGATGTGTTTCTCACCGAGCCCAGTTCACTTCTTACACCAGCACTTTATTCTCTCTGATTCATTCAGACATTAACTTGTCTGCTTGAATCCTCCACTTCAGCATAATCAGCTCTCTGCAGATTTCTGGAGGCTCTTCAGGAACCTCCCTCTCCTCCTGCCCCTCCTGACCCTAACCCCCTCCACCCGGTGACATGTGTTTGTTTATTTATACATCCAAATATCTTCTGCCCTCCACGTCTGTCCATCCATCCCAAGCGCTGAGTAAACCACAAGATGAAAATGTGTCTCAATATGTCTCAGTAGCTTAGCCTGTAAGATGCTGCAGTCCAACCCCCCACCCACCCACCCCATAAAACACTCTGTATAATGAATGCATGATATGAATTATTACAGTATGCTCTTGTTTGGGGGGATTTAAAAGATCAGGCATCTGTAAAGCACCTCATTTGAAGTGCTACCTGTGTCATGTGGTGTAATCTCCATTAAGGACATGAATCAGATCAGAGTTTGAAGGTGACATAAAATCTGTTCTTGTGTTTCTGAGGACAGCTTGAGAGACAGGACAGACGGCCATTGGTTTTGGGCAGTTTGGTGGTGGGAGAGTTTGGATCACACATGCAGCAGTATCTGCAGCAGAAATGTAGCTTTAACTTAAGACACTGCAGAAAAAGGAGGAGCTGGGGCTGAGGAGGGGAGAGCAGCAGCAAAGTTGTTTGCAGAGGAAGCAGGAGGAGTAGAGGCTAAATGAGGTTAAATAGAGCAACCATAATCGTGTTTAAATACAGGAGTAAAGATAAGCTGATATACAGTGAACAGAGCCTGACACTGTGGCCTGCCTGGACTTATATTTCAATTCATTCTCAACTCTCAGAAAATGCCACTGAAGTCAAATTTCAGTCCAAGTTTGAAACTCCAGCTTTCACCTCTGCACTGTGTATTTTGAATATCCGTAAATGCTTTTATTTTGAAAATCTGTACAACCAACATGTTTTAGTAGTTTTGTAATTTGTAAGCTAAATATTTATAACATTAATTTTGGAAAAATAAAAAGCATGTCTGCAAATTGGACATAAAGTGAATATTATCAACAGCAAACCTGCGAGTCCTCATGAGACTTATCGTAAAGGAAGCATTGATCTTACTTTAAACTGGTGGACCGTCTTACAGCTCGGTTTACAGCTAAACACGCATCAACATGCGTGTCCATCTGTACCTGCACACACATCCTGCACACTGTCAGCTCAGGGCAGATGGACAGGATGTTGACTGCAGAAGAAGTTGTAACTACAGAAGGCCGGCGTCAAGCTCACTGGAGGCCAGTGAAGGCCAGTCTGGAAGCCTTCCAGACCTCACTGCTCCATCTATCCACACGAGAGCTCTCAGGAAAATCTTCTTTCTCCGCAAGGGCAGGTTTTAGCACTCAAACAACCTGGAGAGTGTCAGAACGAAGAGGCAAGGGAGCACAGGGAGGCAGGGACATCAGCGCGCTCTGCAACACTAGTCACGACAGATGGACGAATCACAAGACCTGGTGAGAAGTTGCTCTAACAAATAACACTATGGGCTCTATTTTCGTGCCTCGCCGGAGACGTGCCACAGGCGCGGCATAAGTCAGGTCCCCGAGCACAATTTGGTATTTTGGTGAGCAGCACAGCCCGGCGTAAGTATCCCCCCTCCCTAACTCAGCTCCTCCCAGCGGCGTAAGTTGTAGCGAGGGAGGAGACCTGTTTTCACCAATCACATAAACTCCTCTCCTTGCCTTTAAATCTGCCACCGGCGAGGTGTATTCCAATTTTAGTAAAGTAGTCAAAGAGATCAAGAGATGTGTGAAGACAGCAATGTCACACGATGGCGACAGAATGCAGTCCCTCAACAAGTGTCACTGTAAGCGCTGCATTGGGCGTCCTCCACACTCTCTCATATGAGCACAGATGGATTTGGTGTGTGTAGGTTAAGATCCACTGGTAAGACAAACACCTTTTTCCACAAATAAAAACAATCGCATAAAGTTGCATATATTCAATCCTCACATGACAAAGGTGGGTTTAGCGCACAGATCACATCATAAATTCCAAATATGGCATTAAAATCGAAACCATCTGTGCATAATGACGCATCGTGCTCCGTGGCCTAGCTCTTTCTTTCATTGATGTTGGCATATAAAATAAATTTGGCTCACAAAACTGAATATTATAATATCCGTATGTAGGCTTATCGTAAATAACTCATCTGATCACTGAAACAAATCATCTGTTCAGCCGCTGCAGCAGCAGTTGCAGCAGGACGGAGACATGTCCAGGTCCGGCTGCGCGAGAAATAAGAGAAAGAGGAAGAAATAAAAGGAGGGAGACAAATTACATATCTTGTTAACTTCATCATGTGTGTCTATTCACTAGATATTTAATTTAATTTAATGCGGTTTCAGCTGTGTTGATTCGGTCAGTTTGAGTGTCCAAATGCATGCCAAATGCGCTCATCAGATCAGATATAGATCAGAATATATCAATATAGATCTAAATGTATGTGCTGACTCAGATTATTAGTTGTTGATGATTATTTATTGCACTGAAATGTGCCTGTCACTGTGGAAACCTGCTGGTGAGGCATCGGTGACGTATGCAGATACTCCGCCAGTCTACCAAAATACCACTAGACCAGCTGCGCTCCACCTGCACTGAAAGCTGACCAGGTTTGAATCGGCGAGCTTACAGCGCACTTTAGCGAGCACGAAAATGTCATTGCGCCAGCTGATTGTGTCGACACCTCCCCTCAGCTTGGCGGATCTCGGTGCACCTCAGTCCACGAAAATACCAAACTGGCTGTACGCCAGGCTCCGAAAATAGAGCCCTATGTGTGTCATGTATTCTCCAGTGTGGTAGTCTGTGTAATGAAGCCACATATACCATTAAGTCAACCCAGAGATGGGAAAACATAAAACACAAACAGTCATTTGGCAGGTGGATCTGCAGCTGTGGAACAGTCATCCAACAAAGAAGATTGAGATGGGATTTCTTCAGTCTCTTGTTTTTTCTGTCTTTTTTTTGGCTTGTTCCAGTTTATTAGAATTGAATAGGGTCAACCTACATGGACACATTTTCCAACCAGACCTTTATCTCAATCGACAGTTGTATAGACATGTCCAAACTTGTCAAGGCCACTCCATAACAGTGTCCTGTGTTTTATGTATACCCATCTCTGGGTTGACTTAATGGTATCTGTGGCTTCATTACACAGACTAACACTGGAGAATACATGACTGTCTGTCTGTCCCTGTTGGTATATTATTTTCTTCCATATTCAAGCAGCTATGTATGCTGCATGCACACTGTCTTTACAGAACAAATGTGTAGCTCCTCTAACTGTGGGCTCAAAAGAATGACTAAATGTGTAGCTCCTCTCACTGTGGGCTCAAAAGAATGACTGAGGCAACATTTAGGAAAGCAGCATCACTAAACAAGCAGCATGTGCTAACATGCCCTGCCATGAAGGGACAGCCAATCAAATTGCCTGAGTTAAGTACTGCTGCTGACATGAATCAAGCATACTGGATAGAAGGAGTCAATACTGCAGCCGGTCCGTGTACTTGGCGGCCAATGGATTTTCGTTTTCAAATGAAAAAACAAAAATCAGGAGACAGTATGGAATCAGAAAACGGAAAAAACTAACCATATTCCTTTTTCGTTTTGATCATAAAAATCTGAAAATGACATGACATGAAGGGACAGCCAATCAAATTGCCTGAGTTAAGTACTGCTGCTGACATGAATTAAGCAAACTGGATAGTTTGAGTGCAATATTCACTGGCCTTTATGTTGTTGTTAAGTTAAGTTTTCTCTGTACTTGATCATTGGTTGGTGGGGTACCCCCAGATGACAATGATAATGTTAGGACTTGTAAGATCCTCAAAGAAAAAGATCAATGCATCCAAAGTAATCAACAAACAATGCTAAACCATTGGCCAAATTGTCAAATGATATAAGAAAAAGGAAAAAATTGTGAAAATAGCCGATCTGCAAGCTCACACGCCCCACAATACAAGGTGTTACGGGCTTGTAGATCAGCTATTTTCACAATATCTATATGTGGAACAGAGTCAAACAAATTGGGGGTTACCCAGTTCAAATATGATTGTTTTGGGGGGTCAAGTCCTGAAAAGGTTGAGAATCAAAGTACTAGATGGCAGCCATCTTGAACATTGCGGTCAAAACAAAGTTGTATGATTAAAACTATGTCAGATTTGGAATCCTCATGCTTGACTTGTATGGAAAAGTGCCTTCATACATGATTCTAGGTCATCCAGATCAAAAGTTAATTTTTAGAGATGGCGCCAGCCACCATCTTGAATTTAGCTGTCTAGCAAAAAATGCTGGGATTTTTGCGAGGGACCTGGGGGCTAAATCTTTTCTAAAGGGTCCATGGAGGTCAAATCAATTGTCAAAACATCCTTGCCAGAGGATGGTCACAGAATCTCACTTTGTGACCCGACTAATGGCCTGACACCGAGACATTACATGAGGAAAAAGCCACCTTTAGAAAATACTGGATTTAAAAATAGAGATAAAAATGGTGAAAAGATTAAAACCTGATGGACTTAAATAAGAAAATAATAATATTAAATGAACAAATAAATAAAAAGGGTAAAAGAAGTAAAAACCTGTGACGGGAAATTTAAAAAAAGGCTAAGAACAGAGATAATGGATAGAACGACATAAAATAAACATCAAGAACTTTGATTAAAATTAACATTTGCAATAAGAGAAATCTAAAAATGCAATTAGTAAAAAGCCCGGTTAAAAAAGTGAGTCTTGAGCCTCTTCTTAAAAATATCAACAGTTTTTGCGGCCCCGAGGCTCTCCGGCAGGCTGTTCCACAACTGGGGGCCATAAAAACTGAAAGCCGCCTCCCCGTGTGTTTTTGTTTTGACTTTGGGTAAGGTCAAAAGGCCTGTGCCGGAGGACCTCAGGGTCAGCGAGGGTTGATATGGTAAAAGTTAATCAGATAAATAGGAGGGGCCAAGACCATTTATACATCTAAAAGCTAAGAAAAGAACCTTAAAATCAATCCTGAAACGGACGGGGAGCCATTGCAGCGATGCTAAAACTGGGGTTATGTGCTCTCGCCCTCTGGCCCTTGTCAGCATTCTTGCAGCTGAATTCTGTAAAAGCTGAAGTGTATGTAAGTTTTTCTTTGGAAGGCCAGAGAGCAGGGCATTACAATAATCTAAACGTGAGGAGATAAAAGCATGCATCAGAACCTCCATGCTGGCCTGAGAAAGAAACGGGCAGACTCTGGCTATATTTTTGATTTTTTATGTTTGCTATGTTTTTAACGTGTGGAAAAAAACAGAGCTCAGAGTCGATAATAATGCCCAGGTTTTTTACAGATGTTGATACTTTAAAATCTTGTAATTTTGGTAAAAGTGTCTCTCTCAGGCCTTCAGGACCAATAACTAAAACCTCTGTTTTGTCCATGTTGAGCTGCAGGAAGTTGACTGCCATCCAAGACTTGATGTCTAAAATGCAATTTAAAAAGGGCATCAATTGGCCCGGTATCATCAGGAGACACAGCCATGTACAGTTGTGTATCATCAGAATAGCTGTGGAAGTTCATGCCGTGCCTCCTGATGATGTCCCCCAGGGGAAGCATGTAAAGATTAAAAAGAGTTGGATCTAAAATTGACCCCTGGGGAACCCCACACATAATTTTATGGGTTCGTGAGGAACATGTATCCATACTTACTAAGAAGTGTCGATCAGTGAGATAAGAGGTGAACCTCTTGAAAAGTCCCCGAGAGGCCGACCAGGTGCTTAAGTCTATTTAACAAAATGTGATGGTCTACTGTATCAAAGGCGGCGGTTAGATCCAGCAGGACCAAGACTGTGAGGTTGCGATTGTCTAAATTGCACCTGATGTCATTCAAAAATTTTAAAAGGGCTGTCTCAGTACTGTGGTTCCTCCTAAAACCTGATTGGCACTTCTCTAAAATGCTCTTTGTATTTAAAAAATCATTTAATTGTGAAAGTTTTTCCAAGATTTAATTAAAAATGGTAAGTTGGATACAGGTCGGTAATTGTTAAAAATCTTGGGGTCCAGATTGCTCTTCTTCAGAAGAGGCCTCACCAGCGCCGTTTTAAAGGAATTGTCTTAAGAGAGCAATTTACAATTTTTAAAAGCTGTTCCTCAAAGAATCCACAAAATTAAAAAACCGTGTGGGAATTGGATCTAAAAGGCAGGTTGTGGGGTTTACTTGGGAGAAAACTCGACCAAGTGTCTGCGCATCAACCAGTGCAAAACTCTCCAGTGTTTCCTCGGGTAAAAGCAGTGATCCAGGTGTGTTGGCAGTTAAAATCTGTTGAGATAAAAGACTGGATCTGATGTTGTCGATTTTACTTCTGAAGTGGTCTGCAAAATCCTCACAGAGGGTGTCAGAGGATGACCCAGGGGTTCTGTTAAAATTATTGTTAGTTAAAATATCAATTGTTGTAAAAAGAAATCTGGGGTTATGTTTATTGTCGGTGGTTAGTTTTTTGTAGTGGGAAGTTCTTACCTGTTTGACTGTGCTATTGAAGGTTATGAGGTGGTTAAAAATTTCAAGGTGGACTGTTAATTTTGATTTTCTCCATCTTCTTTCAGCACTCCGTTTGAGCTCTTTGATATGCGCGTTTCTCCATGGGGGTCTTGCTTTTTTCTTGATTGTTTTAGTGGAGCAACAGAGTCCAGTGTTGACCTTAGATTGTTGTTAAAATTGTCAACGATAAAATCACAGGGTGCAGGGTGAATAAAGTTTGCAGCCACTTCAGAAGTTAATTAACGTTTCCTCACCATTCTGACTGGGCTCCCCCTCTGGTTAAAACTGCTGATTTCAAAGAACACACAAAAATGGTCAGACACAGCCAGATCCACAACAGAGGGCGCACCGACGGACAGGCCATAGCTTATAACTGGGTCCAGCGTGCGCCCCCTGCTGTGAGTCGGCTGTGTCACATGCTGTTGAAAATCAAAGCAGTTTTAAAGAATTAGAAATTCTCTAGACACTGGTGATTTTAATTTACACAGTGACAACATTATTAAAATCCTGTTGTAGGTGGTGTGGATGATTGATAAAAGTTCGGAGAATTCACCAATAAAAGAGGATGAGTAGCGGGGGGGGGGGGGTCTATACACGTTGATGCAGAGGATAGGAGGGCTGCTAAAAACAAAGGTGTGATATTCAAATGATGAGTAGCTGCTAAAAGGAACTGCAGAAGGGGACAGTGTGGATCATGTTATTGATGTAGTTCCTCCTCCTTTCCTCCTCCTTTTTGTGGGGGAAGCCTCAGTGACAACAATAGGTGCATCAGTGCCAAGCCATGTCTCAGTAAGAAGGATGCAGTCGAGCTGTTTTTCCAAAATTAAATCATTTATGATAAAAGACTTGTTTAAAAGAGAGTGCACGTTCAGCACAGCCATTTCAATGTCCGTGCCAAATGTGCGCTCAGCCCTTGATAAAAGGGGGATTTTAAAAACACTGGGGGGTGTAAAAACAGTCCTTGGTTTCGGTTGTCTGTATGAAATGATGGTTTTGATGGTGTGAGTGTCCTGTTTTTCTATTGAGAGTGATTTGGGTGTTGCTGTTGAGGTGTGTGAGGGGATGCAGGGGGGTGAGGGGTGGGGGGCATGTGTGTGCATGTGTTGATAGTTTGTCAGGAGGTGGCTGTGGTACAGGAGCAGAGGGTAAGGTCCATATTTACAGATAAAAGCCCCCCAGGTGCAGACGGTCTCCCTTAAAGAGGTCCCGTCTGTTTAAAAACGCTATAAAATTGTCCACAAATGGGATGCTCCTCCTGAGGCAGTAGCCCTTCAGCCACAGGTGCAGCTGACAAATATGGCTGCTAATTACGTCCCCCATGACGAGGTGATGGTAGCGGGCTGGAGATTACCACACACTTACCGGTGTGCAGCAGGCAATCCATCAGGGAGGAAAAATCCTGTTTGAGGACCTCAGACTGTTGTTTTTTAAGTTCGTTGGTGCCAGCCAGCAGCACCAGCGTGGTGGCCGAGCCATGTTCCTCGCTAAGCTGCAGGGCAGAGGACTCCACCTCCCTAATGGTGGCACCCGGGAGGCAGAAGGTCCGGCCGCCCTGCACCTTCACGTGTCGGATCATGGAGGTCCCAACCACCAGCGCGGAGGGGGCACGCCAGTCCTGGGTGCGTGTTACCTGTTGGCTGGTGGTACGGTGGTGGCGGGGAGCCGCAGTAGTGGGCGCTGCTCTTCCACGGAGGTGCCAGGATGGGGCCTGTGGTTTGTGTGGCGCTGTGGTTTGCCCATCGCGCTCGGCTACCAACCGATCATGGACGTGGTCGGTCTGGTGTTGGGCGCCCTGGTTGTTGCCGCAGCCATAGCCGAGCAGGACGTTGAAGAGAGGTCAGGCTGGTCTCACCGGGCTGGTGAGCGCTACGTCCAGCTGGATGGATGGAAGGAGACCAGGCACCCACAGGAGGAAAGTCATGCAGGCTCAGGATATCAAACCTGTTCTCCAGCAGCAGGTCCTGAGGTGGAGCAGGAGGTAAGCAAGTGGACGCCCCCGGATCACTGACCAGGGCTCCCTCGGCCTGATGGGCATTGATGTCGCCGGAGTTGCTGTTGCATCCTCCTCAGTGGAGCGCCGCAGCTCTGTGGAGCTGGAGGGAGGTGGAGGGTGCCAATGCTTTGGGCCTGGCTCCCCAGAGGTGACAATGGGAAAAGGCTCATGCATCCGCCGGGGTCCTGGTGGTGACAGGTCCATGGCAGGGTGGTGTTGTTGTTGGTGCCCACCAAGCTCCAGTCTTCTGCGCCGTAGGCCCTGAGGTGAGCTATAACTTTAGTTTGCATGGTAGCCATGATTGAAAAATCCATCAGGGTCCTATTTTTCTCCTGAAGGTCTTTCCTCAGTCCTGCGATGCTCTCCCTTAATTTAGAGACGGGGAGGCAGGACTCACACACTGCCATCTTAGTAAAAAGTTTTAAAATTGCCGGCTTGCCAGTGTGATCAATTACACGGCTTCCGGATTTTCCCACTGGATTTTGGCGATTCAAAAGCTTGATGGCTAAAAACTAGCGCTGTGTTTTAAAAAGGTAGCTGAATAAAAGCTGGAGGTGGGTGGGTTGGTGTCTAAAAGGGAGTTAAAGTAGTTCAAATATTTAAAACAAGCGATTTTAGTAAGAGCTGAGACAGTCTGTCTTGCCTAAATCCTGATTGTTTCCTCCTTTCTGCTTTGCTGTATCAGAACAACTGAGCGGCCAGACACAAAGAGAGCAACCAGGGGGGGTGAGGAGGATGTTTACTGTGCACGCCAACACTTAGGATTCAGTTTTATTGGTTTGGTGAGTACTGGGTCTCTTCTCATGTCTTCTCCCCCCCCCCCCCCCCCCCCACTACCATCTGCTTAGCCATGTTAAAGCAAAACCCCTTTTGTCTGCTGACGGTCAAAATCCAACAAAGCGGGTTTCACTAACCAGGAGATGAGGAGATTATGGGCTCAAAAATCACTTAAATTATGGGTCAATAGATGATGGCTATAATCTCTCTTTAAACTGCATCATCATCATCATCATCATCATGAGGGGATCAGGTCTGACACACATGTATTTGGTTTACCTTTAGGATGCAAAGGTAAATATCCAGAGTACTCACCTGCACTTCAGTATCTAGTGTTGAGAAGCTTCATAAAGTCCAAAGTCATTTTGGAAATGCTGGTCCAACAAACCCTCTATCAACCAAGATAGAAGGGGCTTAGGCAGGCCCTATTTTAAAGGTGGTAAAAAATAAAAAATATCAGATTTGCTAAACCAAATCATTCAGTTTGAAAAACTCAAACATTCTACAAAGACCTGGGGCCTCATTTATAAAGCTTGCTTACGCACAAAACCTGGCTTGAAAGTGCTTACGCCACTTCTTATGCAAGAGTTGGGATTTATAAAAAAAAAACTAGTGTAGGAATGTGCGCAACTTTAAGCAAACTCCACACCTTGCTTATGCACTATTTGGAGACAATTGGAGCAAGGTGAGAAGAATTAGTTGATGGAAAGTGCGCGTATAAAAAGCCGTACAGTGACAGTCCTGCGCAATGCAGCACAGTGGATGCACTTGCGCTACTCGAAGACCACGCCAATGGACGGATCCGGCTGGAGAGGGTGTTCCAAGATCGGGAAGATTTCCTGGCTCATGATGATGAATGGCTGATAAGCCGTTTTAGACTCCCTAGAGCCTTGCTCCTGGATCTAATTGCTGAATTGAGTCCAATTTTGGAGCACCCAACACACTGGAACCGCGCCATACCGGCACACGTTAAGGTGCTGACAACAATTGGTTTCTTGGCAACGGGCTCGTTCCAGAGGGAATTGCCGGACAGGTATTTATTATGACAGTTATATCACAATATAGGCGTAATTTAAATGTTCGGATTCACGAAATATAAATTAATAATAAATTCTGTGCTAACAGGTCTGGGATCTCGCACCCATCCCTAAGTGCCGCACTGCCAGCTGTTTTGGATGGGATCATCCAAATGACCAGTCGCTACATCAGGTTTCCCTACACTGTTGTTGAACAGGCCAACAGCAAAAGGCAATTTGCAGCAATGTCCGGTTTCCCTAATGTAATCGGCGCAATTGACTGCACCCACATTGCTATAAGAGCCCCCAGCGAGAACGAATTTGTTTATGTTAACCGAAAAGGTGTGCACACCATCAATGTTCAAATAATTTGTGACTCCTCAATGGTGCTCACAAATGTAGTGGCACGGTGGCCTGGCTCAACACAAGATTCATTCATTTTGGCGCACAGTGGTGTTGGGAACAGACTGCAGGCAGGTGCTGCTCGTGATGGCTGGCTCCTCGGTAAGTATTACACTAACACCATAGCATTCCCACACAACTTTATTTGCTGTGTCGGGGAAATTCTTCTCTACATTTGACCCATTCTGTTGCTGCTACTGGAACAGCTTTACTGAGTGGCGAATCTTGGAATCCCGCTTGTTAATTACTCTGGTTATACCTCGCAGGTGACAGCGACTACCCACTGAGGCGGTGGCTCCTCACACCGTTTCCAAACCCGCAGAGCGCAGAGGAAGTGCGCTTCAACATTGTGCACAGCCATGTGCGCTCTGTTGTGGAGCGCGCCATTGGTTTATTGAAGAGTCGGTGGAGGTGCTTAGATGCCTCGGGGCGCAGGCTACTCTACCACCCCAGAAAGGTCTGTAAAATTATACCGGCGTGTGTGGTGCTGCACAACTTGGCAGTGAGGAACGCCATCCCCCTCCAACCTGACTTCCTCCCTGCCCCGCCACACGTGGACCCCGACCCACAGCCACCTCCCCGGCATGACGAACATGAGCATGGAGCAAGGCTACGTGAGGAAGTGATGCGGCGTGTGTAAAAAGGCAAGTGCAAGTGCGTTTCACTTTTTCAACAACTCTTTTATTGTGTCAGTTGCCGTCGACATTATGTCACACATGTTCAGCAAGACTGTGTGTATTTGTGCCAGTTCCTCCTCACTTCTCTGATGGCCCCGATCGTGTCCCTCTGTGTCTGCAGGACTGTCTCTGTGAGAACCTGGCCGCCTCCGCGCACTCTGGATCCGCTGGGCGTGCTGGGGAAAGACGGGCCTGCAGCCTGTGTGCCAGACGCGCTGGGACGCACCTCCTCTTCCTCCACCTCCTCTCCCACTGCTTCCATCTGCAAAGTGACTGAGGACACAATGCACATCATTTCTTGCCACGTTTCTGTACAAACATTTGATTCAATAAACGGGTAAAATTGTAACTTACCACTCTCCTCAGTCTGTGCAAAATCTGTGTCCCCCTCCCTCTCCGACACAATGCCACACACACCAGCACTTCCAATAACGGAGGCAATTTTGCAGTGAAGTTGTGTTGGTTCCTCTGTGGTCTAGCCGCCACCTGTGTATAAAATTTGTAGACTTTCTGCTCAGTCAAAAGTTGCAAGGTGCTGGCGACATCACAGAAAAGGAACCTTGCTAGCATGATTCAAAAGTTAATTCTCATCAACATTTTGATTTCAGGATTTAGCATTTAATTTGAAATGTAACAAATAGTTTCCACATAAAATATTTCGACTAAATCTTTTTGGTTTACGAACTTTCACCACATAAGCAGCGGTGGATAACGGAGCAGTTTTTTTTGGAACACATGCATGAGTGTCACACGTGCTTGTGTTTTCTGATCCTCACCTGTCGCCGCCATGCTCCGACGGTGCAAAGCCACTTTTTTCTTTGCCTCAATCTTCAGATCCGACCACTTCTTCTTAATTTCGCCAACACTGCGCTCAGTGCCAGCCGCACTAACCGCCACAGCAACAGCGTGCCATTCGGTGGCCTTTCTCTTTTTAGTGATGCCACTCGCATGACTGCGGAATAAGGTGTCCCGTCTCGCCGCCACCTCATCTACTAGGACCTCCACCTCCGTCTCTGAAAAGTTTCTCTTTCTTCGATTTGCCATGATTAATCGTGAAATGCTGTGGATCCATCAGGCTTATTTATACGCAAATCACATTCATGAGGTAATTTGCATGACCATACATGGTGAATTTTGGGTGTGGAGAGGGCGGGGCATGAATCAAATCCCTGCTGCGCAACTTTCCGGCTGGTCTGTGATTTATAAAGGGAAAGTGCCTGCAGGTGTGTGTAGGCAGGGTTTTATAAATCAGATTTTATTTTGTCCTACGCACTTTTCAGCTTTTCGACTTACGTACACTTTTAGTATGGATCCTACGCCAGGTTTTATAAATGAGGCCCCTGAACTGTTTCTACTCCAGGCTGTAAACATGATTATTCTGAAGTTTAACACAAGGCTCTACGGGGACTGACCATAGACTGTATATACTATGGACAACTTGGCTCCGCCTTCTGCAAGTATACAGATTTGAAGCCAGAAACGTTCTGTAATTCCGCGTTTTCTCTCCATTTCCTGAAACCAACATTGCGCAGTAGCATTGTACACACTCCACCGCTTGCGCAGTAGCATTGTGCACAAGAGTCGCTGTGATGGCGCTCGGCTCAAACGGTGAATTCCTTGGGTGCTCAAAGGCTGTATCAAGTGTCAATCATAGACAAATTGAACCCCCCAAATAACTTTTGAAAATGGAGCTGAACAGAAAAAAGAGGACTTGAGCAAACCAGTCTTACAATAACTACATGTCAACATCATAAGCAGAAGGGAAAAAAATATGTTCTGTGTAATTAATTTCTAAAGTTTGTCCACAGCCCCATAAGGTTTGCTGGTGGAGGCGGGATTTATGACCTATACTGCAGCCCGCTGCCAGAGTGTGCTGTTCTCGGAGTGGCTTCACCCAGCGAGGAGGCAGATGCTGTCCATTCTATATACAGTCTATGGGACTGACTCACTGCAGGACTTAGCCTCCAGTAGACAGGAGAGGAACTGCAGCAAAGAAGTTTAATTCCAGAGGTTACTTTGAGGTCCGAATGCAAAGTATGAATGTATGTATGTCCTAGTGTATATCACAGCTGCACTATGCTTTTAGGAAGTAGTTGGTATGAATATGTTTGATATTTTAGTGTCTGTCTCCTTATTATCAGCTCTTTTAACCTATCACAGTGAGGGGGTGGGGCTTGCTCTATGTTATGTAAATCAAACCTTTGCTCTCTTGCCATATGTCTGGCTGAGGTGCCAGGTTGAGTAAAATGTGAGCACATTTCCCAGAAATCTTTTTCCTTTTTTTTTCTTCTTTTTTTTCTGTCTATGACAAACCTGGACCCCACAGAGTTTATTCCCTCCAGACTAAAAGAATCACTCTGATTGGACGCACAGGGAACCAGATAATCCAATCA